GGCGGTGGTTGAGGGTGTCCCAACAGACGTTCTCATTGATAGTGGTGCATTAAACGTATTTTCAGTCTCTTCTAATGTTTTAAAACACCTGTCTTGTCAACCGACAGCCGTCATAACGACCGGTGAGATGGAAACAAAGATCACTAGTCAAACACCTGTCTTTTAGCGCCCTTACAAACTGTCATACGAGGAGAAACTTAGAGTACGTGAGATAATAACGGATCCATTGGATATGAACATCATTAGGGAGTCCCAATCGGAGTATGCGAGCCCTATGCTCCCAGGAGTCTTTTTGACCAGGCAAAAAGAAGGACGGTCTTGACAGGCTACGCGTGGATTTTAGGGCGCTCAATCGGATAACAGCCAAACAACGCTGAAGTGAAGAATCGATTCCCTTTTCTGGGTTTGTCAAACTCGAGGGCCTTTAATCGAATATCAACGTATCATCAACAACACTTTGCGGCAGTAAATTGATGCCAGGTGTTAGTTTATGTTGACGATGTACTTATTATGAGCACTACTGCCCAAGAGGACATTGAGTTACTACGACATGTACTGCAAACACTCACTGCGGGTGGTTTTTCAATTAACCTGAAAAAGTGCTCACTTCTAGTTACTGAGGTGGAATATTTAGACCGAATCATAAATCAGGGCCAGGTGAAGCCGAACCGTCGTAAAGTGGAAGCCTTAGCTAATGCACCGGTAATGCCCACAAACGATAGATAGGTTAGACAACTATTAGGTTTCGCTGGATATTTCTGGCGTTACATCAAGAGGTACGCCACCACAACCGCCTGTTTATCACACTTGACGAAAAAGGGGGTTCCATTCAATTGAGGTCCTGAGCAGGAGGCAGTGCGCCAGGAACTCATTCAGCATTTGACATGTGAACCGATTCTGGCTAATTTGACCCAAAATTTGAAACGGAGGTCCACACGGATGCAAGTAGTGTTAGATATGGTGCAGTTCTCATTCAAGCCAGCAAAGATGGTAAAAAGCATGTTGTGTCGTATTTCAGCCAGGTCACGAAAGGATTTGAAAAGAACTATCACTCCTATGAGCTCGAGACTTTGGCAGTGGTCAAGGTTCTCCAAAAATTTCGTCATTACCTAGTCGATCTACAGTTCAAACTTGCAACAGACTGCAATGTACTGAAGGCTACTGAAAAGAAAAAATATCTGTTACCGCGCATAGCGCGCTGGTGGATATATTTGCAAGATTTCAATTTCATTATTGAATATAGGAAGGAAGTTATGCTGCCACATGCCGACTACCTTCGTCGGAACCTGCCAGTTCGTGTAAATCAAATCTCATGACCCCAGAATTGGGCCCAGATAGCTCAAGCTGCCGACGAAGAAACGCAGAAACTATTACAACAGCTTCGGGACGGAGAACTTGATCCGACTCGGTACGTGTCGCGAAACGACTTGACTGCTATGTTATATACCTAAGGGCCACAGGTTAAGCTTTCTACGAGATTTTCATGATGAGCACGGACACATCAACGCGAAAAAAACATTAGATCTTATTTTAAAACATTTTTGGTTCCCTCACCTCCGCGAATTTGTCAGAAAGTATGTATCCCTTGCGTGATTTGCATATATATAGAATTAGTTTTAAAATAACTAAATATTTAATATAAATATGTATATGTAATAATTATAAAAATATGTGGCACGCCGATGTTACGATGATCACGATTCCACCGGTTGAAAGACTATCCGACGCCGCCGCCGACAGTTTCCGATCGATGTACATCTCTATACCGAGAACAAGGGGATTAATTTCAAAAGTCAATGTTACAAAGTCTTTGTTCGCCAATCTTAGGGTTCATCAAATTGTACATTGTCGTTTTTGGTGGTATCTGGACTACCTTTTTTCAACATTATGATATAATTAGGTTGAATTCGTAGGTAGAGTCAATGTTCGGAAAATGGATCACATTTTTACCTCCAGCTATTTTGATATTACTTTTCTCTGTTTACAGGTTTATTGTAGGGTTGGTGGCACTCGGTCGGGACTCTCGAGATGACTCATGTGGTTCCGAAGCTTTGCCTTCCATGTACACTGATCTGACGCATTTTCGAAAATGGATAATGCACAACATCCAAGAATTAGAATCTATAACCACAAAGAACTGTGAAGCAGAAAGTGAGTTACATAAATTGATGCGAGAGGAAAAACTTAAAAAGAAGAAGAAAGAAATAGCAAGTGGTGGCGACATTCCAAAGTATGACTGTTAGAAACAGCTACTACTGGCGAAAAACAACTAATTTCAAAATGTAAAATAAATACTTTTTAATTTGTACGAATTTATAGAATTTGAATATGTTGGTTACGAGTTCAGTGAATATTTAGGAACGATAGCGTTAATTAGAATAATACAAAGATGTTTTGGCATGTATTAGTACTTGAAAAATCAACCACCCAATCAACCCACGTCTGTCTTTCCTTATTATCTTCCTATAAAAACCTTGTCTGACACCAGTATACATATAAAGACTGACAAGATAACTATTGTACCTCGAGCTTGAAATAGCTGCGCTATACTCCGTCCAACCATTTATTTAACTTCTGGCAGACCGATTCCTAATGCGTTTCCGATTCGATTTTCTATAACAATCGATTTTATTTATGAAGAAGTTTTAATATAAATAATAAACTTTGAATGTAAGCGGGTTCCAAAAGAAGATATTTCTGATTGGAATCGTGATGTTGCGTTTGACAATTTGTGTACTCGAGAATTAATAATGAATGTTAATGAGGATGCAAGTGATGATTCTCGTTCATATGGAGAAGAATCCGACGATTAATTAAAATAAACAATAAGAATTTAGTATAATTATTTATAACATATTTCATTTCATTATAATTTATTAGACAGGTTAACTACTTGAATAATCTTCGTTACATAATCTGTTGGCTCGATAAATATCGGAGCTAAAGAGCACGACGCTTCACTAAAATAAAAAAAAAGAGTCCAGGAAGTATTGCATTTTTTGTCTATGGTTGTCTTAGAGGATGTAAAAAAAAAAAGAAAGGAGCTGCCCTAACTACAGAATCAACGTGCTTGTAACCAAAATGTGAAAGTTACAAATAGCGGATTTCTTTAGTGTTGTACCATAATCTATCGATAAGTCATTATCGACATGCAAATGTGTGGCTTGAGTGTTGAAACTGTTTTTTTTTTTGTTTCTTTAAGTATGCCTAAACAAACTCAAGTCTAATTTAATCTCGAGTGGCATATTGTTATTAAACCGAACGATGGCAAGGCAAGGCAAATAGGCTGTCTATACTTTGGTATTGGCCTTTAACCGGCAACGTTGGACTAATATGACATTGTATTGCAGGCTTTAAAAAAACAGACATTTTTAATAGTTAGAGTTGTCATTGGCAAAATCAGAAACGAGTGAATAATTTTGTTTTCAGGAACTGAGAATAACTAGTAAATGAGTCTTCTTTGATCTAAATTGAACATAAAATTATTTACAAATAAACCTAATGATGGAATAGCATTGTCATGTAATCTAGTTACATTCAAAGTAATGTTAAAATTTGACTCTTCAAAATGAAGCGAATAAATGAAAATGGTCTTTGATTTAATGTTTATATTCAGCACTATTCTATGGCGGTTTGATTTCCAACCATTCTTCCTTCCTTTTTTCATTTGTAGGAAAACTTGAAATAACAAAAATAATAATAATAAAACAATAAAAACCTTGTAGTGAATTGTTTTAATAACAGAATATCGATGCTTACAAGATGTATGCTTACAAGATCAACACTATCTCAAAATAATCGTTAACAACAATCATCAAAATATACAATGAAATAGGCAATCTAAAGTAACAAAAGCAAAATTAGGTAAAATTTATAAATAAATTACTTAAATAAGTCCAAAATGAAATGTTTGGGCTATTGTGTGATTTGTAGACAAAAAAATAACACATGCCTGTGCAATGTAACATTCGATTGATTTGCACTTTTTCTAAAGCCACATCCCTTAATGCTGCAGCGTCGCATTTTTATTAATACCTAATTATTCTCACTGTCAATATTTTTGTCCAATTTAATTATAATACATGCGAATAATTCAATAGTACATTTGGAAAACATTTGTTTTGACATTTGATATACTTCCCTTTAACAACGGTATCATGTACCTCATGTATTGCGAAATGGACACGGTTGGCATTTAAGATGAGTTACATATTTTCAATTCCCGTGTTTGACACAGACCAATGTAATGTTATCTCTCTTGGCTTAAGACGGCACGTAATAGTTAAACAAAGACAATAACATGTTTATGTTTTCGACGTCGAAACGCATCACATACATATAACGTCTGATTTATATATGTCAACGTAACATGTCCTTTAGTTTCCACAGTCTAAGATGGTTGTATATCAATAATTACGGAACTTCGGAGGCATGCATATGTCAAAAGTTAAATAAATCGTTGGACGGAGTATAGTAGGTAGCTTTCGTATTGTCTTTTATAAGTTACGAAACAAGATGAGGATCCAAATCAAACTTTTCTTGGCATCTACTCGTACGTGTCCCATATCAACAAAAATTCGGGACTGCCCATTGACTTTATTAAGTCAATGGGACTGCCATAGATTTTTGTCATCCAAGTACGCATAAGTTGTATGTATAAGCTTCTGGATAAAGCATAAACAAAAAGTTTCACTAGAGTTTTACGCATAAAAGGCAAATTTTGAATATCAACCGGAATCTTAAATACATTGCCCCTTATGAATTTGTTACTTTGTGAAGACAACTGTCAAGAACAGCAGGCTTACTTTTATCCCTCGTAGTAATGTTATGTCTATCACTTTTTTACTTGAAATAATAAAGTTCTAACGTAATAAACAAATGGCAAATATTCGAGCAAAAAAATTCCATCTCGTATCATTGTATGATATATTTATACTATATCCATTTTTTTATTATCCAATCAAATCATTTTACTCGTCTTCATGGGTGTACAATAAAGATGTAAACATACATTATTTTATGATCGCTATGACGTACGATCGAGGCATACAAAAGTAATTATACATTATGTCCAACACTTCTAAATAATAATAATAATAATAGTTAACATAAATAATCTCAGTACAAAGTATTAAAAAAAACCGACCTCAAAAGTCATTTATCCTATTTATCCTACTTTGCCCCACTTTGTCCTACTTTGAGGTACCCTCTTTCCAACAAAATAATCATCGAAATCGCTTCAGAAATGCCGTGGAGTTATCGTGTAACATATATACAAAAAAAAAAACTAACGTACAGTCGAATTGAGAATCTACTCCCTTTTTTGAAGTCGGTTAAAAATAGTCACGAATCACTGATCATGGACTCCCACCTTTACAGGACAGTGAAAAAATCACGCTTAAAATATACAAAAGTCATTTAATATAGTAATCAATGTAAACAATTAATATCATGCACTCACATTCATGTCTCAATATTATACAAAATAATTAAAATAATTCCTACTATTTTTCAATTAAGTCAAATAAACTGCTTTTAAATTCCGCGGAACTTTTACTCTCCTCAAATGTAATGGCAAATTATTATAGAGTTTTGTTGCCATTGCGAATATACTCTTCTGAGACAACGATGTTTTACATGTTCTTTGGTGTGATTGGTTAGGACGTCGTGCTTTTGTAATTGCAGGAAAAAGTTCATTTTTCAATTATCGTATGAGTGTGTTTCATATTTTTATAAATTTTCTTATTCGTACTTGGCTATTTCGCATGCACCTATACGTTTCAGCTTAGATAATAATGGACACAATTTCCTGCACCGTCTCTTGGGACCTTGTGCTCGTAAATCCAAAGCCGAACGTTTGTTTATGTTCGCTACGGGCCGTGGGGACGTTTGAGCTAGGTATGTTACAGATACTGGCCGTCAGAATTATTTTAAATATTTGTAGTTTCCGTATGAATTGTGCCAGAAACGTGTCATTTTGGAAAGTTTATATAGTCGCATCGTTTATATGTCCAGACGTGTGGCGAACAGTCCATTATTTAAGACAGAACTCTCTAAAAAAACCTTTAACTTTCTAAGACCCAGCAAACTATAATGAGAACTAAATAATAAACTAAAAAATATATAGGGAGCGCTAAACTCCCAATGTATATTAAATATTTTTTTTTCATATCAAGTGACGGGACGAACAAGTGGTGCGCCTGGTGGTAAGCGACACGCCTATCCATCATAGCAGTTGAAGTGTCACTCAGAGCTTTAAATCGCAGAGATCTGAGGGGCACTGCCACTGCGCGCGACACACTGAGACATAAGTGGACAAGTTCCTTATATTAGTAATTTTACTAGCACCCGCACAAATGTAATTACATGATTGCAACTATGCTCTCAGTTTTGTTTGTAAAACGTATTTATCTGGATATCCTATGTTCATATAGAACATATGCACTAGATTTGAATTCGATATTTTTTAATTACCCTGGGTCTTTACGTGATCATAGGAATCACATTACCTGGGTCTAAATCACTTCACATATTACGTAGGTCATAATGCTTAGGAGGCTAAGGAAAGACCTATGTACACAATTAGTTCCTGCTATCACTTTCCAGCATTTATTCGTTACTGGTCATAAACAAAACTCACTATAAGATAGGTAATAAGATAAGTAAATAGCTGCAGAAATGCGAATAAAAGCCAGTGCATCAAAATGTAGAATAATAATTTTGTTGAAACGAATTTTCAGCAATCTAAATTATATGGAAAACAGACAGTACAATAAATATGATTAGACCAAACAAACTTCTGCCCAAAGAATACTTAAGTGTAATAATTATTCTACTAATACGTTTTCGGACAAACGATACTTCTGCTGTAAGACATTTCTGTGTTGCAAATTTATGCCAAAACTGTCCTCGCACCAATAAAAAGAAGTCGATCCGTGTTCGGCGTAATGAAATTCGGAAAGAAAGAAATTCGAGCTTATGATAGGCTATCTCTGGGACAGTGCCAGCAGCTGACAGTGACATCCAATTTCTACAAAGAGCTCAAAAGATGATCCTCTTAACTATGAGCAATATGCCCAGGTACCTACATCACTTAACACATAAATCCACGATTATCTGAAAGTAACCACAGCCAATGAAGAGATTGGCAATTCTACTCAGAGATGCAACTTAGCTGGTGAGGCACCTTGATTTATTGGAAATCACAGCTTGTGACTGAATCTATAGTAAACGACTCAAAAGGAAAGATATCCTCTAGACAGGGAACTTCCAGGAGATATACTTACTGAAGGACAAATTCTGCATTACACCATTGAATCTGGAACACATTTATATTGAAAAGCACTAATTGCAGATTAAACACACATTAAAAAACTATACGATAAGTGGTTCACAATAAGAAGCCCACAAGGCAGTGGTATTTAAATCACAAATATTACTAACAATTGAAGTTTAAATTGCTTAGTGTAGCTGGAGCGAATGCGGCTGATATCCATCGCACGGCGAATACGCGGCTTACAGGATTAACCGCTGAATACTGATTGGGGATCCGACCGTTTTACATTTAATTATACAGGTAATCCGATATTTGGATTTGTTGGAAACCGACGAGTATAGCCGAGTGTACGTGTCCGTGCTATCAGATAATGCAGATTTTGATAGTAGTGCAGGTTACTTTGATTGTAAATCGGTACTTAATACCTGACAGTATAGGTTTACAATCAAAATTGTAACGATGGTTTAGCAGTTTTCACTTTCTTTTCAATCGACTTTTAAAAAAAAAAGGAGGAGGTATTACGTTTGGCAGTATGCATGTTTTATGTATGTTTTCAGATTTCTCCGTTAATTGTAGACCGATTGTGAAAATTCTTTTTTTGTTTGAAAGGGTGCACTCTCGTGGTGGTCCTATTGTCACCAAGTCAGAATCTGATGAGGGAAATGGAAATCGAGGCAAATCATCATATTTTATAGACACGTACATTGACGTACCGATTTGTCCATGAATTGTGGATCGATTTTGGAAATTATTTTTTTGTTTGAAAGGGTAGACTCTCGAGGTGGTCCTTAATGCCAACGATGCTGTTCCCGGCTCGTTTCGGTTATCACAAATTTAAAAAAATATTTTCCGCACATAAAAGTCGGCTTTTCACTTGACAAAATACATGTAGCAACAAATCACCGCACCGTCACCATGATAACCAGAAAAAAGTATAAAATGTACAAAGGAGTCCGTAACAGTCCTGTCACTAAGAAGTCAGAATCTGATGAGGGGATCCCATGGAAATCGGTAAAAAGCCGTTAAGCAAACTTTTGAGGTGGGTTTTTTTTTTCAATGAAAAAGTTACAATTACAGCAAAGAAAGGTTGTCAATATTTTCATTGTTATAAATGTAAAACTGGATCAGTATTACTTGCAATCATAATGGTAAAATACTTATGATGAGATTTATATCTAAAGTCTAAATTACCTCCACTCGGATATGATAACCAGCGAAAACGGCCTTTTAGATGGACTGAAGACTTAGCTATCTACCAAAATCTAGCGAAAGAAATATTCACCAAGACTTACTTGTAAGATGTTATACCATTGCCTTTTCCTTAACAGAAGGAATTTAAAAAACAACAACATATTAGAGGCAACATTCCAGGGCTGTAAAGTAATACGTTAAATTGTATTAAAATTGTCTATATCGAAACCATTTACGTTTTAACTTATTAAGAGAAACCGCGGCCATTCCACGATCTACACATTGTTATACACATAATAATTTTCCTTTTTCTCTGATCTTGAATAGGGTATACCTATCACAGGTTAGAAACATGATTTACAGAATTTTGTTTCCCCGAAAGCCTTCCGGCAATTATTGAACAGACTTTGTTTAATTTGGTCGGAAACGCGTTGCGAATTTCTTCGTTACACCATTTAATGTTTTACGGTATTCGTTTGGCGATCCTCATTTCCCCAATATTTCGTTGACCAAAGTAATGAATCGAATATTTTGTTTAGTGATAATAAGCTTATTGAATATCTCGAAGTTTTACTACCATGATATTCGATGATTTGTTTGTGAAATTACTACACTAGTTTTTTTTATAATTATTAGTACAAAGATCGAACACTACAAGTAAGGATACCAGGCTTTCTTTCATACATTCCTCACAGATGTCGCCATGGCAACAAAGTCGTTAAAAACGAAGAACAAAGACTTGCAACAAGCACAGAAAAATTCGTAAGTTCTGCTGGTTCGTTCCGTAGCTCAGTTGGGTGAGCACTAGACACGGTATGCTGAAGGCGCTGGTTCAAATCCAGCGGGATGGAAGGAATTTTTCTTAGTCTTTGTTTTAGTAATTATTTTGTTTAAAACTATTTTTCCAGATTTAAATCGCGTATGTTTGTTTTTTTCAAACAATTTGATGGATGGTCAACCGTGACCATGGGACCTGTAAAGGGCCCGAAACGTCGATTTGTTTGAAAAAACAAATATACGCGATTTAAATCCGGAAAAATAGTTTCATTTCCTATGTGTAACAATCGCGAAAACCTAAGAACTCGATATTTTGTTTAAGTTCAAAAAACGATATCCCCAACACGTTGTTTATTTACCTCGGATTTAGTGTGTCACACAAATAGTAATCTATTGAAATTTTAGTCTTCTAATTAATAAACAAACACTTTAAATTCTCCATTCGATTATCTGCAAAAAACAAATAGTCAACAATCTAAACATCATGGAATACAAACGGTAAGGCAAACATAAACGAAACGAAGTTCTGCCAATAGAATACTTATGTGTAAAAATTATACGTAACAATTGTTTTTTTGGAGCGAATATCTGCTATAAGATATTTCTATGTCACAAATTAATGCCAAATCAATCATCGCCATGACAGACCGTGTTCGGAATAATGAAAGTAATTGATAGAAAGTAATTAGTCTTTGTGATCTTACCTTAGAAAAGGAATCTAAATAGGGAGAGAGGACGACCATACTTGTCGAAGCGGAGTCGCCTTGAGTCGATAAATTTTAAGTAGCAGTAGAGCTCCTTGTGAAAGAGTTCATCCAGGAAAGTACTGCCACCTTATCTATTTCTGCCACCAAGCTGCAGTAATGTAAGCATCATTACGTTCTGATTTTGAAGAGTAAGGGTGCTGGTGAAATAACAGGCACATGGAACTTGTTAACTTATGTCTCAACAGTGGCAGTGCCCCTCAGATTTTTGTGATTTAATATGAATGAACGGCACTACAATTGCTATGGACAATCGTGTCGCTCTCCACTAGGCGCGCGGCTTATACGTTCTGTCACATGATATCATAAAAAGTATTACCATACATGTCGCACTATGCCGATTCAGCAACGACACGGCCGTTCGACAGTCGTCGGCATTTTTCATATAGCCATCGTCTGTGATCGGATGTGATTTTTGGCATCTTCGGAATCGTTTGGCCGTTGGCGTGTCCCATCGGTTATTGGCGGTCATCGGCTGCATACGGACGCCATGGGAAATTCACAAGAAGCAGCAAGAGACAACATATGACGCTGCGGTCCTCTGGTAAGGCTAAAGCCTACAGACAGCTCAATAGACACATATGGAAGTCCATGCGACACGACATACGGGTCTTTAATACCAATAATATTAAAGATACCATAGAGCGGAACAAGGGCTTCAAAGTGTTTGCAAGGGACATGTCTATTGGGCAAAATCCGCTTACAAAGCTGAAGACGGAGGATGACAGCGTTGTAACGTCCAAGCCAGATGTACTGGGGGATCGAGAGGTTTTATAGGCAACTATATGCCTCGATTACTCCGCCTGTTACTGATTCTAAAGATTCTAGAGCCAATCTCACCCGACGCTATACTGAGAATATCCCGGACATCAGTCTGTACGAAATCAGGATGACTTTGAAACAGTTAAAAATCAATCCACTGCCAAACAACAAGACTGTAGCACCGCCCAAATCCGATAAAGATTTGGGCGGTGCTACAGTCTCTACAACGGTGCCACATTGACTATCGATATACCGAAGTGTTGAAGTGATTGTACAGAAACGCCTCTATGTCAGTTCGAATCCAGGACCAGTGCACAAGGCCTATCCGATTGCAAAGAGGAGCGACAGGGAGACGTCATTTCTCCGAAACTGTTCACTACTGCATTGGAAGATGCCTTCAAGTTACTGAACTGGAAAGGACTCGGCATCAACATCAATGGCGAGTACATCCTCGGACAAACCGTCCAATTAAGCAGGGCCAACTTCGAGAAAGAGATCAATCGTCGAATCCAACTCGGTTGGCAGGTTTTAGGAAGCTCCGGGATGTCTTCGCGTCCGCAATACCGCCAGTGCTTGAATACAAAAGTCTTCGAGCAGTACGTGTTGCCAGTGATGACCTACGGCTCTGAGACGTGGCCACTTACTATGAGCCTCATAAAAAAGCTCAAAGTCACTCTACGAGCTACGGAGCGGGCAATGCTCGGTATTTCTCTACGTGATCGAATCAGAAATGAGGAGATCCGTAGAAGAACGAAAGTCAACGTAATAGCTCGAAGGATTAGCAAGTTGTAGTGGCAGTGGGCAGGACACATAGCTCGTAGAACTGACGGCCGTTGGAGCAGAAAGGTTCTTGAGTGGAAACCACGAACCTGAAGGCGTTCAGTGGGACGCCCCCTACTAGATGGACGGATGACCTGGTAAGGGCGGCGGGTAACCGATGGATGCACGTCGCGTATGATCGGCTGGTCTGGAAATCTTTGGGGGAGTCTTCCGGCTGACATGCTGATGATGGCATGGGTATAAAGCTTTTCCTAATCAGCTCTAGCCTATTCCGCGTGAATAAGTGTGGTGACTTACGCAACAAATACACCTACATTTGGTAATGTCAAAGTGAATCACCAATTGCGTGCTCACCATAAAATTCACAGCTTTGTTGTAGTGTAGTTATTATTAGCAACCAAGAGCAAAACAAGAAAGTAATTTATTTGCATTAAAATTTCATTGTTATCAAGTATATGGCAAAATCAATTAAAAATCAATTTAAAGTCATTACATTCCTTGCACGGAACTGAAGACGTTGGAAGAGTATGAAGCATGTGTCCTCTTTGGATACTTTTCATACTAATCATCAAACCGAGTACTGCTGGTCTTAATCTGACAGGTAAGATCGTACTAAATTAAATGGTTAATTAAAAGATCAACACCAGCTTATCGTCGTTCACTTCTTGCCTCTCTCGAGTTACGTCTCAAAGTTTACGTTCTTGTACCTGGTTTTTTCAAGTCCTCGGTAATTACAATTCGTACTCGTTCCTCTCATGGTTGTATAAGTGGTAATGACTGTCTAAAGCCGCTTAGGAATTTTGGGAACTGAAGATACGCTTCGGATTTGGGAAATAAGCGTACCGACATTTCCGCCACCAAAGCAGAAATTTGGTACTTGAATTTAGATTCAACAGCTTAGCGTAGCGGTGGCAACTAGTTAGGAAATGTACAACGGGAGGTAAGCGTGCTAACCGCTCCGACATCTATCTGGACAATAGGGTAATTGTAAGTCCGGGGTCACTCACGCAAGGCACTAGCCTTTTGAGCACCGGATGAAGTCTGTGTAAGCGGGCTGATCTGGAGTTAGGACCTAACTGATAAGGTCCCTGTACGAGCTTGCTTACACAGGTAATAGTGGTCTATCCGTATAACCAAGCGGTTGATAGGAAGGGACACTATAAACAGAACTTAAGTAGATAGATATGGGACTAAGTCTATAGCTGCTTTTATTCGATGGTTCCATCGCATTAGCGATTTTCTTTGCGCACGAGAACCTTCGACTTCCAAATAAAATAATTAAATCAAATCATTTCCAGGCTTGCACAAGATGGTGGTGAATGGTGTAGAAGTGATAATCGAACAATACCCATACTTAGCGCAAGTGGTAATAGATCAGACGATCTCGTGCGGCGGCGCAATCATAAGCCACAGAGTCATCGCCACCGCTGGCCACTGCGTCTATGACATAGATCAAGAAACAATGACATCGGCTATTGATATGGATGTCTACCTAGGTAATATGTTAATTACGTTTTAAAATATGAAGATGGAAATAATCGACCTTATATCATATACGTAGTAATAATTATTGTAGACCACGTGCCATTTTTTTTCTGTTTTGCATAGACCCCAGTTGTTGCGGAAATGGATGTTTTTAACAAATTCATCATTTTCGTGTTTTTGAAGCTGTTGCAGTGCTACTAACTTTGATAAATTTGACTGTATAGTGAGAAACTATAAAAAAACACATGTTAAGTTTTGTGCAGTTGCCTGCCTCCTCTGTTGCCGAACAGTTACCATGCTGGACTGCTAAGCAGAGGTTCTGGATTCGATTTCCGGGCCGGGAGAAATATTTGTATCGTCTAATTTTATTTCTCTCGTGAGTTTAGGTGTAATTTGTCGATGTCTATGTATGTGTCCGTAGCACCTGCGATACAGGGTTTCACTAATGCAAGGCTATGAGCGCATGCGTTATTATCGTTATTAGTTATCTGACAGAATGTCTTGTTTGTTGAATGTTTACTTCATAGGTAATTTATTGTAAATTTTGATCACGACATACTAAAGATACTCTTGTGTCGTTAACGTCTTATGCACCCCCTATTTTGATCACTGACGTGAACCCTTTACAGATGGTAGTGACTCCTGGGGAATCATCGATAGACCACTTTGGGAATCATTGTTGTAGATACACAGACATTTTAATACTTATATATATATCCTCGGTTTCAATGTAAAATGTACAACCAATTTGACCAATGGAGATAACTAATATTTTCATTTCCTATGTGTAACATTCGCGAAAGTCTATGAACTCAGTATGCGTTTTACTTGTCCAGGGATTTAAATTGTAATGTTATTGTATTTATAGTCAGTTTTCCAAATGCAGTTTTATAGTGAAGGCCTGATGAACTCACAAAATTTTTCTTGTTCTTTTCAATTAAAGAAAAATAGAGAAAATCTCCTTTATGACGAAAATGGGATTTAGTGAGCCTCTTAATCAACGATGTTTCGAATATAGCCTTGGGCCCATGAGAAGCCCATGGCTCCCTACTTCAATCGTTGACTGGGGGAGTTTACACTTCTTGATTTTGTCAGAAGTGCCTCGGAGATATCCCACTGCTAATACAATAGTGTATTAACTCAAACAGTAAATTTATTCAGAATAGCTGCAAAACGAATTATTCAATTCCCGTGAAAGATTATTATAATAAAATTTGTGTATAGGTTAAAATTTATTAGACATCTAAAAAACTCCTACTTGCCAATTAGAAGTATATTTAAAAATAACTCTTCATGAAATTTTTGGTGTACTTGTTGTAAATATGATAATATTCCGTTTGAGTGGTTCTAACGTTTACCATGAA